CTACCACAATCATCAAAATCTTGCTTGCATATGCTTGTAAGCTGGAGGTATGATGCTGAATTTAACCCCATATATAACAGGGGAGGAGGGGGGAAAGGGAGAAAAGGGGTGGGTTTGCTGGACAAAAGTGTGGTATTGCGGTCTGTTACACATTTGTGTAGGGAGTTTCCCTTTTGAAAAAGATAAATGCTAAAAGAGTGCTACAGTGGCTCAGTCTGAAGATGGAGTTACATATGAGAGGTTAACTTTTCCTCTTGGTCATAGTTGTTCAGAGCTTCTTTTTTCTTTTTAGTTTAAACTCATATCCCAGGCATATGAAGTTCTGTCGGACCCAAAGAAAAGGGACCTCTATGACCAGGGTGGGGAGCAGGCTATTAAAGAAGGAGGCCTGAGTGGCGGCAGCTTCTCTTCACCCATGGACATCTTTGACATGTTCTTTGGTGGTGGAGGCCGAATGAATAGAGAGAGAAGAGGTACACAGTTCTAAACAAGTTCTAGAAACTAACCATGCACTTAAGCATAAGACACCTGTGCTATGGTACTGCTGTTCTACTAAGTGCACATAGTGTGCTTATTACTCATTGCGACAATAGATTAAGTAAACCATTATTTCTGTAGTTAACTCTAGCATTAAGATTCTAGTAAAGCAGATAACATGATGTAGCCATGGCAATATTTGATGCCTTCTGTTTTATTTTTTGTTAAAGTGGGTGTGGGTAATCTCTAGGGGAGGGGGAAGCATCGTTAGGTTTAGAGCAGATGAATTAGATCTGGTTTAAGTTATTTCTTTTCCCAATCTCTGTGGCTTACTTGCTCATGCTTTGGGCAACTTGCTTCAAAGGACACCATCAACTTAAGTCATGCTGTAAATTTCATGAAATTATTTGGGAGAAATTATGTGAAACTCAGTACAATGCTGCTAAAAGCACAGTATGATTTTTGTCTGTTTCCATGTCCAGTGTCTGTTGAAGGAGCAAGTAGTAACTTGCTGTGAAGCCTTTTAAATATGTTATGAAGTGGCATGGGAATTTATAGGTAGGCAAAACAGCAACTTCTGAATTGACCAGATGTGAAGCTGGTAGTGTCCTTGCACTTTGCTGTTTCTGTTAAGCCTATGAAATTAGGGGTAGGAGCAGGGATAGGGTGGCTTTAATGATGCTTTGCTTAATTACAGCTGGACTTTTATGTTCTTTTATGTTATTAAGTGGGTGCAGCACAGTAAAAGCTGATGAAACTGCACGTGCTTTTAAGGGGCCTGAGCTGTGTTCAAAGTTTGGGAACTATTTTTTTTTCAGTGAGACTGTGCATGTGTGGACAAGTGTAGAAGCCTTTAAATAAACGTTGGTCCTTACAACAGCTGAACCAGGATTAATCTCTCTCTTTTTCTTCTAAAGGCAAGAATGTTGTACACCAGTTAGGTGTATCTCTTGAAGACTTGTACAATGGTATTACAAGGAAGCTGGCACTGCAGAAGAACGTTATTTGTGCCAAGTGTGAAGGTAAAAACAAGTAGTGGCTTCACATCCCTCTCAGTACAGTCTTTTTAGTTATTTCATTCTTGAGTGGGACTAAGAATGAAGAGTGGGTGTTCTGCTTTTCCCTCTCCTTCATCCCCCTCTTAAAGTCTCCATTTTTGTTCTCATTTATGCTTATCCAAAAACGACTTAGTGGTATAAACTTAAAGTTGTAATGGCAGACTGAGACTCACTGTGAATTACAGTTAAGGGTCCCTAAATTACAAGTACCTTAAATCTGGAACTTTATTAAATGGCTGTTTTGTTAATATTTTTTAATTGCTGTGGGTAGCAGTCTAGTTTGTATTACGCAACCATTTTTACCATTACTGAATATCCATAATGACTGGATTGTTTGAGGTAAACTTTAATGAGGTCTTGTGTCTTAGCACTCTATTAAATGTTTAGCAAGCAGACTCTTTTGGAAGTATTAATGGAATGTAGGTGTTGAAGTTGGGATGATAATTCCTTGAAATCCGTGATGTATGTGGAGGTGGGGCAGAGGCTCATTGAACAAGCTGTGCATAGATAAATTGACTTTCTTTTGCTGATAGAAACTTGTGGGGCATGTTTTGTGATGGAAACTAAATCCCAGTTTCATTGGAAACACATTACTGGATGACTCTTGAGTTGTCCAAAAGCTGCTCTTGAAGTCAGTGAGTTCCAGCCTGACTACAGTAGAGTAACTTCTCATTTTTGGAGACTGAGATCAGATTTAACCTTTTTGTCACAGGCTATGGCGGAAAGAGAGGGGCAGTGGAGAAGTGCCCTATGTGTAAAGGAAGAGGAATGCAAGTTATAGTTCAGCAGATAGGACCTGGCATGGTACAACAAATTCAGACTGTGTGCCCAGAATGCAAAGGCCAAGGTGAAAGAATAAATCCGAAGGACAGGTGTGACAACTGCAATGGCTGTAAGGTTGTAAGAGAGAAAAAGATCATAGAAGTTCATGTTGATAAAGGTAAGGATTGTTTGTTTGTTTTGTGTCCTTAATTGTGGTCTATAGTGCTGCAGAGAGTAAATGGCTTTGTTTTTCTCTAGGTATGAAAGATGGTCAGAAGATAGTATTCCATGGAGAAGGTGACCAGGAGCCTGATCTGGAGCCTGGTGATGTTATAATTGTGCTCGATCAAAAGGATCATAGTGTCTTCCAGAGGCGAGGGCATGACTTGGTCACAAAAATGAGAATTCAACTCTCAGAGGCTTTGTGTGGTTTCAGAAAGACAATTGAAACTCTGGATAACAGAGTTCTTGTTATATCATCTAGGCCAGGTGGGTCTTAACAAGAGTTCTGGTGCTGTATGAATGAATGCTTGATTGTGCCTGGGATTTTTTTGGGGTGTTTGTGGTAGGTTTTGAGGTTTTTTTGCGGGGGTCATTTTAACCAGCTGATGCAATGGATTTAAACTACACTTGCAGTCACTGTATTTAGCTGGTGGTTTGTCATTCTTGTCACTCATTCTAAAACATCAGATGCAGAGTTACAGCTGAAGCTGTCAAAGGCTTCTTAATAAACTTTGGCCTCAGTTGGAAGAGAGCCAGGAAAATACTCAAAAGGCTGGAAACTTAAAATCTACTGGATTATCTGTGAATTAAGCATGAAGGCTGTGCTAAGAAGCTGAGTCTCTTCCAGTAGAGAAAATGGCTTGTATAGTCTGGTTGTAGAACCCCTCAGTCTGCAGCTTCTTCTGTGAGTTACTTGTTAGTAGTCTCCCTTGATGCTGTGGGAACACTGCTTGTGCCTAACCCTGCTTTTCATGGTTATGAAGGAAGCTTCCATCACATAAGCTTATTTAAATCTGTTACCTCTGTGCAGGTGAAGTGATAAAACATGGTGACCTAAAGTGTATCTACAATGAAGGGATGCCTGTCTACAAATCTCCAATGGACAAAGGCAGCTTAATTATACAATTTCTGGTAAGTTGGCTGCTTTTCTTTAGCAAAGGTGGCTGTGTTGGCAGAAGGAATAACTATTCATTAAAAAAAACCCGTATGAAACTGTAGGTCCAGTTCCCAGAGCACTACTGGCTTCCAAGGGAGAAACTGAGTCTGCTGGAGGCCCTGCTTCCTCCCCGAGAAGATGTTATGATTACGGATGAGATGGATCAGGTAGACCTTGAAGATTTTGATCCAAGTGAGCAAACCTACCGTAACAGTGGGGGAGAGGCATATGAAGAAGATGAGGAGGGTCCAAGAACAGGAGTACAATGTCAGACATCTTAAAGCAAGGTGAAATGGATGTCATCTAAAATGTAAATTTTCACAATGAAAACTGCATGGCTGTAATAGCCACTGCTTGTGGTTTTTGTGTTCAGCAAATTGAGTTGCTGCGCTGTCAGTATCACCTTTTTGTAACTAATTTATATTGTGTTCTTGTAGTCTTTATATAATGCAAATGTCACACAGCTGAGAACCAACTGAGTTGGTATACATTTTCCTTTGCTGTGAAGGTTCTCACTTTATTTCACCTATGCTATTTATATAAGACTTGGGCAATATTGATAGAGGCTAAGTGGAGTGTCTTATGTAAATACTTTCATACTGGAAAATTAATTTCTTAGGATAAAACATAGCAGAAATAACTTCTAATAAATAGAACTCTTCACATTTTATTGTGCTTGTCTGGTACTTTCTGGGCCACTTGAGAATCTTCACTGTTTCTTGTAAGTTCAAACTCCCATCACCTAGTCCAGATTTTTCTCCATAGTCAACTCTAGTAGCTGTCTCATTTTGTATTTTGGAAGCATTTTGTGCCTCTTCCCTGTGTTCTTTTGTTGTATCAGAGTAGCATTCCTGCAGCTGCTTAGCTGTAACCTGGGGTTGTAAGATACCAGCCTGTGTATGGAGTGTACTCCCCATAATTCTAAGTGACATACAGGCAAAAATACTTGCAAATAAAAGTTTGATCTTTCAGAAGCTAAGCTTTGTATTTCAGCCTTTCCTAGAAAATGTTTTTACTTTCTGCTAGCTATTACGTACTTCAGCCTTCACAAGGATGAATAAACTGAAACCAGATTGATGTCAGCCTGACCAGTGCAGTACACAGCTGCTCTTTGATCATGTAATAAGACACCATTTTAGAAATGAGCACATGAAAGCTTGCTTCTGCTTTTATCTGTTTTCTAGTCAAGTTGGGAACAACAGTCCCTCTTAGCTCATGCATCATGGTTTAATTTCACTATGTCTCCCCATCTAATTGCTGGAACAGGTGCTGAGCTTAAGTGACCCTACTGAGTACAGGCTGTCATCCTCCATGCATACAACTTCTGCTAAAGTAAGCTGCTGTGAGCCTCAGTCACCACTTTCCAGCTCTAGTCTATTTATGTTTGGAGGCAGGAGTGATTAAGTGAGCAGTAACTTCACCCATGACTCCAGAGTTCCAAAAATACATTTTTCCAAGTTATTTGCAGCTGTAGCTTTTACTTTTTCAAGAAAGTAAAGCTTTCTCTCCTGCCAAAACTAAAATTACATATGAAACAGCTGAGATTCTGCACATCAGCAATATGAAAATGCTTTTATTGTACTAAAAAAGTGACACAGGACAGTAGTGTTCCAAACTGCCACAAAAGTTAACCAGAGGGAATGAGTGAAGACATTTAAACAGGACAGTCATAAATATGAATTTCTTGGTCATCGCCAACAGACACAATTTTGGACCCGCTTCCATTGTATTTCACTCCCCAAACCTGTAAGTAGGACACAGACAAGGTTATTGACAGGAGATTAAGGGAAATTTGTCTTCATAGCAGTCAGATTTACTGACCACAACACCCCGAACAGGGGCCATTATTTAAGACCACCTTGTTATAGAGCTGGTGCAAGTATGACTTCTGCTTTCACAGTAATGGGGATGATGAACCAGAGAATTGCTATCTAGTAGCCTGACAAGTTCTGACATTCCATTCCTACTGACAGCAGGTTACACAATCTAAAGGTACTTGAACAGGGCTGAAAAGTTTGCAGAAACCACACCTAACATCCTCACTCTTGCCCATCCTGTCTTCCTTTCTGAAACGAGATTTTACAGGACTTGGACAAAGGCAAGAGAGGAAGCATTTTTCATGCAGACTGGCACATTGTGACAAACTGATCCGGTTTTTCCCTGGGCTACTTAAGAGTCATTTGCTTACTAGTGCAAAATTAGACTAATTCAGGTCATTCTTCTGACTTGATTTAAACCAGTTACACAAACTCCTGTTAACATAGCACTGGAGTTGGGATGTTGAGAACACCATGTTTTGGGCATCTCATATGCCGTTTTGCATTAATACCTAAAACCAGCCTTCCCAAGAGCTGGTATCATCTCTGCCTTCCACAAACTTGCCAGGTTATAGACAACAACTAAAGCAACACTGCAGACTCAGGTCTGCTTGGTCCTTCAATGCTAAAACCCCCATGGCTGTAGGTAACTGAAAGGAAGGTACTATAGAAGAAAAGACCCCAAATAAAACCTGAAAGAATTTCCTTGGTTAAGTCTTTCTCCATGATCCATTAAAAACGAACGTTGTTCTAACACCTAACATTTGGGAAGACAGTAACTCAGTAGATTTACCTCCTCTTCCCTCATTGGTAGTGATGACTGAGCAAAAAAACCAGGGTATTATTGTCACTGGAGGAGGAAAAAAGTTCCAAGGGTGTTCTCAATCATTTTTTGTAATAATCCCATCCTTTTAAATAAGTATTCTTCCCCCTTCCACAGGCACACACTGTGTAAATGATTGACAGAAATAAAACCGTAGACAAAGATAAAAAATAGTCTGATAAGAAGCCTTTTGGCCACACAGGATTGCCCTTATTTGGACCTTGAAAATGTAATTATTACTTGGAAGAGCTCAACCTACATGCTTGGAGTAATAGTTCGATATTGAGTGCCAAATAATCATTAACAACCTTTAAGATTTCATTACAGCAAGCTGATGTCCAGCCCCGAAGCTATAGCACCAAGCTGAAACACAAATGTGCATGACACAACTGAAGTTCTGTGAACAGTGGCCTCAGTGAAGAGTAGGCATACCTGATCTTGGTGGTCAAAGAACGTATGAACACAGGTTCTTGTTCCAGCATCCCAAACTTTAACGCTTTTATCAGATGAACTGAATGAAGGAAAAGGAGTAGTGATGAATGTTTAAATTAGTAGGTTAACTTAGTTCAGTGCAAAGCTTAACAGATCTTACACGAGAGACATAAGAAACCCTCTTATTTGATGGGTGAACCATCAAATACAGGGACAAAGTAGTATCTCCCACAAGGCTCCAGTGACCTTTAAAATACATTCACTGTTTCTGTATCTGAAGCATGAAAATGAGGACCCCCATTTTACCCAGAAACTTCTCTGACGCAAGTTCTTTGGGTAAAGAAGATCCTGCTGCACACATCTGGTCCCCCAACTGCCTGAGCTGTTCAAGAAGCAGCACTAAAGTTCAACTAGGTGAATGTACCACTACATTAGCTTCTACTTCTTAATTCAACTACAATTTTTCAGCTATTTAGAATCAACTTGCCCTTCTCTTAGGTTTAGATGTTCTTCACTTACAGGGAACTACATTGCAGTACGGTAACTTACACTATAAAATGCTATTCACTTACAACTGTTATCACATCACAGATTGGCTCTTGAGTCTGTTATTCCATTGTAAATTCCACTGCGATCTGTACACATTTACTTTTTGTGATCCATCCCCCTTTATAAATACAAAATTACTTGAGTTTTTTTTCAGTAAACATAAGTTAAAAATCCTCAATACCTGGAAACAAAATGGGTGTCATCAGGACAAAATGCTACATTTAATACCCAGGATCCATGACCACTTAATGTGCCAGCCAGGTTTGCATGTTGCCTGTGGAAAGAATAAGTTTTAAAACTTGGTTTGTGAATTTCATGGAAAAAAAGGCAACAGGAATATGCTGTATACAGTGCAGTCAGGAATGGTTCAACACAAAGTCATGGAAGGTGGCTTTTGGATATCTGTTCATCCAGGCTGAACTCATGTTACAACAGACTCCAGTTTTCTCATTTCAAATGGTTAGCATAAAAAGTCATCAAGAAGATACACTGGGGGACAAAACAGTTTCACCATGAAGAAGGCAAAGTAATGCAGGTTTAGGGAAGTTAAGATCCCTGAAGCAGTGCCTTTTCCTCTCCAGAAAAGGAATAGGTCATAAAACACCTTTTTTCGGTACAGAGCATGTCTTTAAGGCAAGGAAACACAAACACACAGGACAGATATACAAAACCCTGTTGCTTTCAGAGTGAGTATGAGGAAAGTAATTTGTTTTCAAGTTAGGACTGACATTTACCTTTACACTTCTCAAAACTACCTAAGGGTGCAGTCTTTTATTATTTAAGATTATTGATTATATAGAGAAGTCACCAAAAGCTGAAGTGATTACAGAGCAGAGGGTTTGATGTATTTTTTTGTTACGGTATCGGCCTCTGACCTGTTAGAGGTCCCACATGACTTCTTGTTAGTTTTGCAAACTAAGTTTCCTGTTCATGTTTTTGCTAAAGCACAACTTACACATCGTAGATTTTGATATAGCCATCATCTGAAGCAGTTACAAGTAACTGAGAATCTGGAGAAAACGTCAGTGAACGAATAGGCATCGCATGACCTGCAATTCAACGTTAGACATGGCTTAGAATGTAGCTATTCCTCTTGGTAATGACAGTGCTCAAGAAGCTACACCAGACCAGCATTTCCTGGTAAAAGAAAGCAACCTCTAAAGAGCCTTTCTCTCCGTGCCTCTACAGGCTTCTCAGCACAACATAAAATGGAAACAGAGTAATTCTGAACTCTGAATGTTAAGGCACGTCCACTGCAACACGAGTATCTGATTTTCTTCAGCTGCAGATCTTTATTAGAAATTATGTTGTATAATTTCATATTTCTTGAGTGGTTAGGGTTTTTAATTAACTATACAGCTGGACAGAAACTGCATGAACTGCAGTTTAAGAATTTAGTTAAGCATTACTATGTTTGTTTCAGATAGACACATACAATGCAAGCCTGAGTTTACAGTTTGCCTCTCACATTTTAAGTGGTTTAAGTTACAGCACACTAAATAACTACATACTTTCTAATGGACAGAAACACCAACTCACTTATGCCATGGCTGGTTTATCTTATTGTAAGTTGGGTTGTATCCTCTAATTTTGTTAAGGAATGAGGCCAGAACTGGGGTATTGCAAACACACAAACCCTTACCTTCCAGCGTATGCAGAAGTTTTCCAGTTGCAATATCAAAAATATTGATAATGCCATCTATCGCTCCACTGGCTAAGTATTTTCCATCTGGACTCTGAAATAAAACACAAACAGTATGCATTTTATAACTGTATGCATTTATGCTATGTACCTCTCTGACCTTCTTTTAGCAACTTCTCACAAAGACAACTTCAGCTGACCTAGTCACAATGTGTATAAGCCAGATCTAAGTATATTTTCCATGTATGTAGGGGGAAAACATCACAGTTTATGTTTGGAACTATCAAAAGTATGCTGTCATTTAGTATTATGTAAAGCTTAACTGACAGAAACAAAAATACCTGATTTACAACATACTACAGCAAAAGCAATTTTCACAATAAGAAGTTATAAATTGTGCTTCTTACATATGCAATGCTAAGGATGAACTTCCCTCTGGTGTCCAGAGAATATTCTTTCTTTCCGGTTTCAACACCAAAAATATTTACTTTTCCCACATGACTTCCTGTTGCAAGGTACTGTGAATCAGGTGAAAAAGCCAGGGACCAAGCATCAACTGCATTAAAAAGAAATAATCAGTTAGCTGAATCCTGTTTGTGGTTCTTCTTAACCAATGCCAGTTCTGTATGCATCTGTTTAGACATTTAACCCCCTAACTACTCTTAGCACTCTCAACTCTACTACATATTCTTTAATGAGAGTGTAACAGCTCATTGTCTGGGGTTCAGCAAAGCCCAGAAGATGCAGGAGAAACAGTTACAGAAATGTAACATACACAAACCATAACCTTTTACAGCAGTACAATGTATTTACCTGGCACAATATAATTCAGAGGGGTTTTTTTTCTATAAACTTACTTACTTAAAATACTGCAAGATAATCCTTAAATTAGGGACTGGAAAAAAAGGAAACATTTACAATAAGGTATTAGGCCCTGAATTCCAACTTGGAGAACATAACAGTGATCCAGACTTCAGCTTTACTGAAGCTTTTTGACTTCCTTACTCAGGATTGGATGTACTGCATAAACATGCATCACACACACGGCTCAAATTCAGTGCAGTGCTTATGAAGACAGCTCAGGCTGTCATTGTACATCAGCCTGAATAAGCATTTGAATTATATTTTAAATACCCCTTTATCAGCACATCTGTAAGAAACCATTGGTTGCCATTCTGCTTTATGCATTTACCGAAAAAAGCATATCCAAATGTATCTGAGAAAGCCTAAGTAGTGTGAAAAATGAATGTAAAATTGGCTGATACCACTTTATGTTGAGTTCATAAAATGACTGAGATTTCTGCAAAGATTAAAGAACCCCCCAAACCTAGTAATTTCCTGTACCGTAATTACACACTGTATGGAATTTACTACCTAGAGTAAGTACATCTCCTATGCAGAGACAGCTTAACACTGATCTCTTACCGGGACCAGCATCGATGGACTTGATTTGTTTTCCAGTTTCTAAATCCCAAAGGCGAATGTGGGCATCAAGGGAGCTGGATGCTGCAATGGAGCCTGTGTGACTGATATCCACAGATACCACACCCAGCTGGTGACCCTCCAAAGTCCACTGGAGATCCAATTTTTCATCATTCCTTTTGATCAAGGGAAAGAAAAGCCTAGTTACGAATAGCTGGGGGTACTTAACCCAACCTCAGACAAAACAAACAAGACAACCCACATTTCTCCATTTAGATCAACAAAAGGGGAATCCAATGTCACCTGTGAAATGGGGAGATAGCTACGCACAAACTGCTCTCTGTACTTAAGGAAAAGAGCCAACAAATTAATCATTTACCATATTCCTGCAAAGCATGTACTTCACTTGAAGCCTGTGAGTAGTCCCACTGAAACACCCAATACCCATCAATACATGGCTACTTACTGCAGAAAGTTAATGTGTCAGGAAAGCATGAAACACCATGGCCAACAGTTTTAGCATTGTTACAGCAAAGCTCCTCATGTCATTAACGTGAAGCACACCCATAATACTGCTTTGCCTAAGAGATACAACAGTTTCTTTGCAAAAAGCACATTTCAATGTCACTTGTATAAGGATTAAGAGGATTTTTTTTTTAAAGGAAGGTGTAATTTCCTTTTTTTACTCTAATCCCATTATTTCACAGTACACGTGCTCCCAATCAATTGTCTCATAAAAGAATTGGATTGTCTAAATCGAATTTTATTTGTTCAAATCAAAGAACTGGAAATGCAAACTGATGCCCTTCACCAGACTGTATATTCTCTGGCAGATGACACGTAAAATTTGATGTGCATTTTCAAAAGGGTTTGAGTTCCCTGAAAACTAAAGCACAAGGGATTGATCCTGCTCCAAGAGAGAGCATGCACCAATGAAGAGGAGCTTGCTCAAGACAGCAGCTCGGCATGCCATGCTGCCCCTTCCCTGATGTCACTTCTAACATCTGTGCTGGTTATGGGAAATGAAGACTGCTGTTATCACCATGCTGGCTACTCCCAAGGCTTAGAATTGGTTAATCTGGAGCACTTCACTTACCACTTCCAGACTTTCACAAGATCATCCAAAGAACCAGAGATCACTGTTTCAGAACCATCTTTCTTATTTTTTCCCCAGGCAACTGACCAAATGGCATCATCGTGAGCTAAAAGACAGTGTAAGCACAGACATTTCTGAATAGTAAGTGTTTTCTTCTGATGGAAGACAACTATCAGTTTTGGTAATGCTAAAATTGCTGACTGCAATGTCAGCAATGGGCTCCTTGCTCTTCAGGTCTTACCAGTGTTCCAAGAGCCCTGTCACTGTTTGCATGGTTTCAAAACACATGATGTGTTTTGGCTACTGCTGAAAAACACCATAGCTAATCTTGAGTTATTCAGGTTTATATTTAATACAAGCACAACCCAGGTAATGATAACATAACTGCAAGTATTATCAATTTTCCACCATCCAAGAAGACCAATATTATTTAATACATGTTAGTGGTTTCTCACCTTGCTCTTGCTTGAAGAGAATACTGTACTAGAAAGAAAAAATAGCTAGTATTACATATGAGCAGCCTAAAAAACACAACACTAAGCTAGCAATTAGCCTGATTAACGCTGCACATTCATTTACCTGTGTGGTCATGTCTTTATGGAAGCAGTCCTAACAGGGGCGCTCTGCAAGGAGAAAACCCATTATGCTCTGCAGCAAGGCTCTGAGGGAGCAGCACGGCCTGAAGGGAACCCGCATTTCTGTCTCCCACGGCGACAGGCGACAGCCCAGCACCCCCCGCCGTGGAGTCCCACGGCGGCCTTCGCCCTCCCTCCGTCGCGATACGATACAGTACGATACGATATAATACGATACGATTTATACGATACGATACCGAGCTGTGCCGGACACTGAGCTCTCGGCCCCTCGCCACCACAGCCGCCGCCGTCGCACTGTGATGACGTATCCTACCACAGAGAGCGCGGCAGACAGCGCCCTGCTCCCAAAGCGCGCCCCTCCACCACAACCATAGAGAGGTCTCCGGCCCGCCGCTCTCTACTGCCCCCGTGTGGACAAGAGGGCTCCGTTCGCCTCACACTCCGATCAGCCCTAAGGCGGGAACTGGGCCGCACCGCCCGCCGCCGCACTCGGTGCCGCCAGGATGGGGCCACGGGTTCGCTCCCTTCTCCCGGCCTGCGCCTGCTACCCCCCGGGCTGGTGGCGCCCGCTCGGCAGCGCCAGCGCTGGAGGTCGCCGCCGCCCGCCTCAGAGTCCGCCGGTCCCGGCTGTACCCCTGCGCTGGCCTTCGCCTCGTCCTCACGGCGAGCCCCGCGGGTGAGGGACCGGCCACGGTGGCTGCAGCTGTCCAGAAGCGGTCGGCGTCCTTTGTGTGAGAGATGAGTGGTGGCAGCAACGACGTGAAAGGTGGGAAGCATGGAGGGCTGAGGAGTGCTTTCAAGTCTGAGCAGTGCCGGCAGCTCCTGACTGGTAACTGTAGGCGGCTGCCTTCTGTCAGAGGTGTGAAGCAGGAATGCCAGCCGGGGAGGGGATCTGCTCGCCTCGGGCTGCTGGAATGGAATCACAGAACCAGCCAGGCTGGACAAGCCCTTTAAGCTCATCCAGTCCAACTGTTCCCTAGCACTGCCAAGGCCACCACTAACCCATGGCACTGGGGCCTCGTCTCCACGGGGTGTGAACACTTGCAGGGACGGTGCCTGCAGCCCTGCCCTGGGCAGCCTGTTCCAATGCCTGAGCACCTCTGGGGCAGGAATTGTTCCTCAGCTACATCTAAACCTGCCCTGGTGCGGCTTGAGGCCGTTTCCTCTTGTCCCATGCCTGGTTCCTTGGGAGCAGAGCCCAGCCCCTCCTGGCTCCACCAGGAGGAACTGAGAAAGTGATTACAAAAGAGAAACAGTCCCTCCGCCTTTGGAGGTGGCTCTTGGGAGCTGTGAAGGAAAGGTTTCCCTACAAGGATGATGTTACGTGTCGCTCAGGCAAGTGGACCACGACAGAGAGAAGCATCCAGTCCTTGAGGGAATCAGCCATGCTAGAGATGATCTATCATAGGCCAGATACTGGGAATGGATCTATAGATCCAGATGAAGTCGAGTGTGCGTGACTCATGTGGCAGAAACTTATACGGCATGTGCCATCATCACATGCCCACTCATTGGCATTGCTCTAGAGAGAGCAATAAGGTCCCTCCTGAGCTTTCTCTTCTCCAGACTGAACCCCTCCAGGTCCCTCAGCTGCTCCTCATCACACTTGTGCTCCACCCTGCACCAGTAATGTGTCACTTCACGAACCTTTACAAACCTTCCAGAACCCTGGAGATGCAGTGGAAGCTGAGCAGTGCTGGCCATGTATCTCACTACATGCAGAGATGGGAGGATGTTCTCCACCTAATCATCTGTTTCAGGGGATAAAACCAGGTATGGCGGTTTTGGAAGCTGAGTTTTTTCAAGTTGCTGCCTCTGCTTGAGTTAGAAGTGGGAAAGTTGTCAGAATTAAAGTTCAGGAGAATAAATCAGATTCCCTGAGGCTTAAAATGAAAGACAAAGGATCAATGGACTTTCACCACATTTAATCGGTCTTTATGTGTACACAAAGCTCTTTGAGATCAACAGAGCTTGTCTGAGTATGCAAGGTAACAACCAAAACAGGAATTCTGAATGTATCTTAATGCAGTTCTGCAGCCAAGAATGAAAATCTGAGTAAAACCCTTACACGTAATTACAGAATCCTTGGTTTTCTCACTGTTTAGATTGAGCTTTCAGAGGACTTTAAGGCACAGTACTTTAATAGAATGAGTTTCAGTAATGCTCATTCTCCTGTTAGTAATGATGCAATGGTAAGCGTTTTACAGAAGTAAGAGAAGTTATTCTGCTTCTTACCGGGATTCTCCTAAGAATCCTCCCATTTAAATTTGTACTTACAATGTAATACACTCAGTTTTGCAATAATGTAGAGCAATGCAGTACTGTAATATAGTCTTTGACAGACAAAGTGATTGTAGTCCCTCTAGAGTTCACATCATGTGAAGTGCTGGTATCACTTTGTACACAGAACACCTCAGACCTTCATGGGGAAAGGTTGTTACTGCTCTGCTGCAGAGTGCAGAGTGAGATTGTGGGTTATTTCCTGCATCACTGGTGACACACAGCTGTATTTGTTAGTGTGAAAGCTGGTTAAATACTGCTTTGGTGCATCAAGAGGGTAGGTAATTGGAAGCAAAGTGTGACACGTGTTAGTTTATAGATAAACTGCCTCCTTGGAGTGGTAACTGAGAGTACGTTTCTGTAGGCATATGCATATTCCATATGGCATATTCCATATGGGTATTTCAACCCTAACCAGAGTTATGTGTTATGAGTACATACGTGTTTAGATGCCAGTTTTTAAACGGTGTTACAAGGGAAAATACAGATTTATTTAAAAGCATTATTATCACCCTGATATTATGCTAAAACATAGAAATGAATTACATCAAGGCTTTGAGATGCCATATAAACATCACAAAAGGCATTTTCCAGCCCAAAGGTCAGGTGCAGAGAACAAACTGAGAGCAAAATACTTGGTTTCAAGAACAACAGGCTGTGTGCCATTGTGGCCGGGTATTGCAGTCACAGTTCAGACCTGCATTCGCATTCCAACACCTTCCCAGCTTTACATAGAAGACAAATATCAAGCAAGCCTTGCTTTAGTAAAGTCTTGAAGATACGTGAAGCTCCATGAAGGTGTTGAAGACACATGAAGCTCCATAAATCAGTAAGGCTGGATAATTAGCTGATAGCTTCAGCTCTGCAGGTACATGAACACTACAGTGTTGAAATGCTGTCAGACAGGTCATGTCCTCTTCCTCCTCCACACTAAAAGCTAGTGGGTTTGAGGAGAGTGCTGATAGTATTTGAAGTTACCTGTGGTGTGTGCCAAAGTGGGTAATACACAAATGTATTTTCTTGTGGTTATCAAGATGAAATGATCTTGTCAGTTTAGGAAAGGCAGTGTGTAACAGAACTGCACCTGCAAAGGTCTGGATTAAATTACAGGTCTGTTTCAGGGCTGATTCATCAATTGGGGGTTTTACATATTGGGGTTCAGTGTGGGATCAGCCACAGAAAGCTGCAGGCACCGCAGAAACAGGACAGACTGCCACACACAGAGCTTGGAGCCTGTGTGCAGATTTATACCATCTGCCCGGTGTGGGGCAGCAGCATCAAGATAATCTCCACCTCTTTCCAGTAGCCACGGGTTGGCATTCAGAATGTTCCTTTCATTATTACACCTTCTTCTGTGTCTGGGGACTCCGAACAGTTGCGGCAGGAGCAAAGAATATTCTGCTTATGTTGCCTGACGTGCCTCTAGGAAACCATTAGGGGACTCTGTTCCTGGGAGTGAATTGTAATGGCATTTGCACTGTTTGCTCCTTCATTTCGGGTATCTACTCAGTACCTTCCACCGAGCTCCAGGAAGAGCCACATACAGTACACAGACCTTTTTCTTGAAAGACAGTGCATAAGCACATACAGTGCATTCATCATCATTGTAGTGCATTAGCATCAGGGTATCTGAAGCAAAAGAGCCGCAGAAAATCACATCCCAGTACAGTCTACATTTCCACTTTTTAAATTAGTCCTGTTGCTTGCATGCAGATTTGATGTTTTCAGCTTTAGTTTGTTTTAGGGTTAGGGTTCTGCTCACTTATTTCTTTGTTATGTCTTTTTTCCAGCTCCCCTTTCTCCTCTTTTCTTGCCACTTCATATGCTTTTTCACTGATAAATTTGCCTTTGATGGCCCCAAGCAGCTGGACTGGGATGTGGAGTCAAGTCTAAGCTTTTCTGAAATTCACAGATGTTCAAATCAAGGCTTTGCTTTAGAACAACTTGTTGTCTAATTTTTCACAACACCCATGGTAAAGGCACTGCACACTCCAGGTGATGGCACCACACGCAGCCTGGGATATAGGGTTGAACTACACTCACATCTTTAGTCCAATTGCTGGCTAAACCAGGGAAATGGTATGAAGGAAAAGCTCTTTCTAAAGAATCTGAAACGAAGTGCAAATATTAATGACATTCCAGCTCTGTGAGTTGGGGAAGGATCCTTATCCCCTTTCACAGATGGGTGAAATCTGAAGCAGAGTGATGAATTAAGTCAGTGGCAGATTGAGGAATGGAAGCCTTTTCTCAACCTCCTGGTATGTGCTCTAATTCATTGTGTACCTATACATTGTGATTGCTTTAAGCTTACACTTAAACATTAAATTGCTTCTTTAGCAAGAAAACAAGCCTTTGAAATTTATTCAATCAACAAGCAGTGTTCTTGGGACAGATACAAATGGAAGATAAAATCAAAACTGACAGAGGGTGTGTAACAGCAGTGAAATCAGCACTTAGCACTGGCAGGGCCAAATCTTTCTCTAACTCTTGCAGCTTGGCCTGGAGAGCACTTTCTTTCTGAGTGGATGAGGTGGGCAGTGAGATTGGAGTGAAAGAACAGCTGCTTCTAAGAAGGAAAGAAGGAAATAAAAGAGCTAATTAAACAAATGCTAAAAGCCAGACTTCCTCCTCCATGGAAGCAGCCTTATCCCCACTGTCACCTGCAGAGAAGCCACAATGGTTACATGTAATTACAGGCCTTTTAATCACCTGCTTATGGCATGTATAAGCCAAAGAGACCCTTTCAGAGCAAAATTGTTTATAAAGGAATAATAAAATGAGCAAATTAAAAAAACCCCAAAAGCATTTCTTTTCATGAGAGGTTTTCTAGCAATAGGTCTGTGCTTGACAATAACTGAACCCAGAGGTTATTCTCACCCTAGCTTCTCTTTCACCTTGTAAGAGGACTTCAGTTCTTCTTTCTTTTATTTGCTGTATTTAATCAGAATTATTATACTTTATTTTTGATTTTGTTCTCTCTTGCAACTCTCTTTTCCTTTG